AGTAGTTGAAGTTGTCCCTTACACTTCCATGAGGAATGGATGCCAAAAGGCATTCGATCAAGCTCTAGGCAAAGGAGACGAAAGAAATCCTTCCAACTGAAAGCAGGATACAAAAATGCCAATCCTATAAGCACTCGCTTGGATGATTTAAAAATGAGCCCACCAATTATCCCACCAAAGGTAGTCTAAAAGTGGTCAAATGGAAACGTTAATGCCCTAAAAGGGGAGGAGAGAGAATGAACTTAAAACGGAAGGTTAAAGTGTTTTTGAGTACACTCAAAACATGCGACCACAGAACTAAGTAAACAAGTGACACTCATTCCCCATTCCAAATCTTCTTGTGCAAAATGGCTCATTTAGTCTTCAATTTTGTGGCAAGATAAGGAATACGACTACTCTGTATTGTTACACAATTTTAGGATTCCTTCAAATGAATCGAGAAGCTAAGGGGAGCGCCAAAAGCACCGGGAGAACGACTGCAGAGCTGCAAAGCTAGTCGGTGCCAGGTGAGCCATCTCCTTCCTAAATGAAATCAACAATGGGCATTACCAGAGCCTTCTAAATAGAAAGGCAGTTTGTGATACGTTTTACATTGAAATGTTACGTGCTTGAAGCACCAGGAAGGTGTATTGGCTCTCAGCACTACACTCCAGCCCACAACAGTGGAGTTGAAGAATTCTCGCCATTATTTATGGCTGAGACGAAGTGAAATCAGATGCCATAGCCTAGCAATTCCAAAAAAATTTCATTTATCCTTTCAATATCAGGCTAGACAGTTTTCAAGTCCGAATGATCTCATGAGTCGCATCACATTCGAAGTTCAAAAAAAGCCAGACGATGTAAAATGCAGTGTCTTAATGATAAGGAGAGGACGAAACCTTTCACCAGAGAAGAATGGGCTTTTTAGCTTCATAACAAGATGCTTGATTCTAGTGCCGTTTGGTGACTTGGTGAAGGGAATAACTTTGCGGCGTGAATCCAAAAGGCGACTGTACTGTCTATCAGGAATGAGCTTACTAATGGGGCATTTTCATCTTTTGCGAAGTGCGATAACGGCGGCCTATTAGCGGGTCGAGGTCATATAATGCGATGATGAAGGAGTCTTGTGATCATGACTTATCAACCCACCCATCCACCCGACCACCCACCTAATCAGTCACTTGGTCAGACAATAACATGGCGTGAACATCAACAAACACGTAGGTCGCGTGTCCTGTGTCTTCCGACGGAGTTGATTCACTGACTGAAGGTAGGAGAAGGCAGCCTCACGCGGTCACGATGTCACGTGAGCATTCACACGCCAGAGCCCACACGCCCACTCCTGATCACACATGCAAAAGCACGCATCCCACTGCCATGGTTTACAGACAAAACAATGCCGAAGTGTGGACTGTGACAGCCGACCAAGATAGGGATACAAATGAATCACTGAATCACAGTCTTGGCATCACCAAGTAAATGGGATGTGTTAGTAGAATTGCACTGAGCCCAACACAATACGTAGTTTCGAAGAGAATGCATGCACTCTGAACTCTCAGCAATTTAACAAAGTGGTCAACAGGCGAGGGTATTGTGTTGATTTAAAGTAATTTTGGTGAAACAAATAGAGGAAATGTTACTTCTCACGTCGGTGCTGGTTTAATCCGAAATCCACCACATGGCATACAACTTCCTGCTCAAGTGGAGCCAAATCTTGTAAAAGGCGTTGGTAGAAGTAGATGAGGTCAACTATTATGTCCATTTGTAAACCCAATGGTAAAGAGGCTGCATCCATCTTAAAACAAGTGCCAGGCAAGTGAAAATGCGTAAGCATATATGTCATGGTGATGCCTAAACAAATCACAAATACTCGGGACCAAAAGTGAGTGTTGACAACAGGACGAGTCCACTATTATAAAACAGAGTAGGATGTCTACTTGTGTGTTATATGGTGGAGAATTGGAGATGATTTTCTACTTCAGGATAAACCAAAAAGCAAGACCTTGTAGAGGTCGAATAAATTACAGTTGATGTCACTGCATTAAAAACAAGAGGACGACGACATGTGATGATTGACTTTATTCGCAAGAACTGCTAATAGTAGCAATTGGTCACATACGAATGAGCTTCTCCAGCCAGTTAAGTTGGCACCCCTCTCATAGAAACTGAACTAACAACAGATGTTGCCCTTTAACACGCCGTCCTTTACCAGCATGCACGTCCGCTCCTTCCACTCGAATAAATTTTTTAGAGTGCTACTAGAACTTCTCTCGGTCTGCCGATCGGCTACATGTAAGAGACCGCTCACTGGCCTTTTGAACACCGGCACCAGACATGCAATCTACTACTTTAAATATTTGCTAAACAAGTTGTGCCAAGGAGAGGGCTACCGACTATGCTGTAGAACTACTGAATGGATATTCAACTAGCATACACAACCGAAAATAGACCCTTACCTGTTAAATCACCAACATTAAATTTTTCACCAAATATCTTGTCTCTACAAAAGAGAATGCTAATAGTTACCTTCCTAAAAAATTAAAAAAAAATACGCAGTTTAAAGGTGATACGCACCCCAATTGAACACCGAAGGGAGTCAGGAGAGCGTTGAGAGCAGGCACATTGGTACCCCCTGTGATTGGCACCCACAAACGACTGGTGACGTTGTGAAAAATACAAAAAACAAAAAGTAATTGACAGCCAAACTTTCCTACAGACAAAGAAAGGCATTCAAAAGACAATACTAAAATACGCTACAATTTGTTCCCTTTAAGAATGGTTGGTGAAACTCAAACAAATCGTTAGCATGTCCAAGCCAACAGAAGGAATACATTGACAGTCCTTTCACCTGTCTTACATGCTAAAGCTGATGCCACCTGGTTGAAGGAACCATCCAGTTTTACGATGCTACGACAATTGGAAGAAAAACAACTCCACGCCTGAGTGAAATATACCGACATTGCTACTGAAGTGACTAAACCTTTGAAACGGCACAATAAGAACTCCGAAACGGCTCTATTTCTGTACAATTGAGAGAAACGCTAAAAATTTGCCTCCATAGACCGTAAAAACAACTCGATTCGCACAAGCCGAATCACTCCTTCCATCTCCGTTTTCAATCATCTTCTTTCTGCACAACACCATAGAATGCAGATGCACAGATACACATTCTTATTGTCATCATTCGACCGGTAGGAGAAAATGACCGTTAGATGCCAACACCACTATAATACAAAAGACTTAGGGAAAAAATTCCAAGGGAGTCTTACTGTTGAGCCATATCTTTAGTTAAAAAACCGCATTTTCTTCCGACACACATACGTACATGCATACCGTGAAAACTAAGATGGAGTCACATTCGCTCTAGCCTCTGAAGCCACACTTTTCAGCCCAGTCGGTTGGTCTTGACTTCTCCAATTACATTTTTTGAACACGTTAAGATGGCGAGCACTGCATTGGGATTCGTAATGAACCTCCGACATCTACACTTTAAGCATGACAGGCCGATCTCACTCCACCAGACGTCACATCAAGCAAATCCCACTTTCCCACCCTATGTGACGTCACATCACATTAACATCGTTCATTTGTGGGATTAAATCAAGTCAAGATCGCATCTTCGTCACATCTATCCACCGCTCCACGAATAAGCTAGCATTCATTTTGGCTCGCGTGCATTCCTTATGCTTTATTTCAGAAGGTCACCTTGCCAAAAGTCTACGGCGGCTTTCCACTGTGACACACAACTACGACACATTTACTGCCCAGTACAGATAGAAGATAGTCGGGCAACCGAACCCTAAGCAATGCCTCAAAGACAAACAACTAATCGCTCGTCACGTCTCACCCCTCACTTAACAAACTCCCCACTCACCTCAACCACCGGATGGGAGAGTCGCGTTCCCTCCCCCACCCCCCCCCTAGCCCCAAGGAGGGTCAAACTCGTGCGTCCGCCCAGAACCGTCTTACACCTTCACAGCCACA